ATTTTATTTTATTTTATTATAATATATTTTATTATATTTTATTTTATTATATTATATTGTAATATTTTATTTTATTATATTACATTATATTATATTATATTTTATTACATTATATTATATTGTTATATTTTATTTTATTTTATTTTATTTTATTATAATGTATGTTTTATTTTTTTTATGCACCACTTTTTTCTATTTGAATGATAAACATGCAAACACGCATTACAGACAATAAGTACCCAGCACTATTACACAAAACAACAGAACGATAATGAATTGTATTATTGTATTTTTTTTATTAAATGTATTCTTAATGGACTGTTTACTTAATTATATATATTTTTTTTTAATTATTAATATATATATTATTATTATTTTTTGGGTGTGTTTGTTGTTTATTTATTTATTTTTTCAGAATTGTGTTTGTTGTTTTCAAATTATTAACACTTAACAATTGTTTCTAACATTCATGCCATTTAAAGCATATTAAAACTGAAATTGAAAAACAGATATTCCAGTTAGCAACAAATAAATAAGATTTTTATTTACTTGTGTATTTTTCTATTTATTTATCTATTATTATTATTAGAATCAGGTTCATTGCCAAGTAGGTTTTAAAAAATTTAAATACCTGCAACCATGCCTGCTTTTGATAGGAGAAAAGTGCCCTTGTCCTGTGAGAGAAATCAAATATTGCCAAACTACAGCTGAGTCTGATAATACCCAGGGCTCTAGGGGCCCCAACAGTCACAGGTTTACTGTGCATCAATCAAAGCTGGATCTAGAGGGGTGGCAGCCCCTTTTAGATATTTCTTTTCTATGCTTTATAATGTGCCATATCTTAATTTGGGGGCTTTTCCCAGCAAATATTGATCCATGTGATGTGGTTGTTTGTGATTAAATCAGCATATATTTATGCCACACAGTCTCCATGCCACCCTGTGAATGTTTCTCCAGATCCCCTCCTGGCATCAATTGCTTTTAGTAATTTGATAAACTGCACATTTTTTTATGGAATTTGCATCACTAAGTTCTGTATTAACTAAAGGGGTACTACTAAAGATGTGGATATGTATTGAACTGTGTCCCTTTATCAAAATCTAGTTTAAAGACCTGTATCCACGCAGTTGAATGCACTTATTGTAAGTCACTTTGAATAAAAGCGTCAACTAAAGAAATGTAAATTAATTATTTTACTTAATGTTATGTTCACACACTGCACAACTTCACTCTGGAATCTAAAAAATTGTGTTTACGTCACCACAAACTGATTCTTGCATAATAGTACTGGTGGCCTTCCTGTGCAATACACTGAACAGGAACCTGGAGGGTACGGGTTAAATATGTATAATTATTATAATAATAAATATGCATTGGACTCAAGAAGGGAGATGGGAGGTCAATAGCAGCTCAATGGCAAACCTGCACCCTGGGCCCCCCTAGCAGGTTAATGCTACCTACACCATACACCTGGAGGCATTGCAAAATTTATGACATTTAACCTGAACTACAGAGAAAGCAAAAAACAAGAAATGAATAAAAACTTTACAGCTCCTATATGTATGTTTTGTTACTACAGAATCTTACAGAATTTGCTGATTGCTTACGTTTTGGTTTATATAAAGAAGACAATCTCAGTGACAACTGGTGCAGTTTATGTGTTGTTCTTGGCCCCTCATTGGTAATGTCCCCAGGTGGCATTTTTCTGGTGGCAGGACTCCCGCACTCATTTTCGCCTTAAAGTCAGAAATCTTACTTGTTTGAGTTGCTTCAAATCCCCAGATTTAATACAATCCCCCAAAACTTTGTTTTTCTTTGTGACATGTCCCTACAGTTCCCCCCCAGCTGACAGCCAGGTGCTGGGAGACTTCACATTTTCTGTTTTTGAGCTTGGTATTAAAAGTAAATCAGAAACAAAGAGTTGACATTTTAAATTTGTCAGCCCCCTATGACTGCTTGATTTGTTTACACCTCTAGCCAGCTCTACTGCTGCCATAATATACTAGTATATAAAAAGAGAAAATAGTATGACAACCAAGACCACTCAACACGCACACCATGAGCAAGTATAGGAACAAATTTATTTCAATTTAAAACAGATACCTTGTCATTATGTTTCTCTCTTAGAAGGCGGCAATGATCATAAGTCATGTTCATGTTTGAATGAGGATCAGGCAACAGTGGTTGAAACAAATACATGAAACACATAAAAAAATATGGCAAGAGTTATGTAAATCAATAATCGATAATAACCAACTGATTGAACCCCCTTCGTCAAGGGCTCTGCTTCAATGAAAACATCAAAGCCCTCACTTCCAACACAAAATAAACAGCACATGCAATTATAATTACAGTTTCTTAAAAAACAGCAGATTATCTTTTATATCTTCAATCTTAAATACAGAATAAAGTCTTTGTGTGTACTTAATCAGCTATCCTTTTAGTCTCCGGTGTGTTTTATTTAAAAAGGGGGACCATCTCAGGTGGTGGTCCTTTGATGATGACCACAGCGTTGGCACTTAGAGAGAGCCTGGCTCTAGAGAGAGTGGGGTTGGCACACTCAGTATAATACATAATTTACATTTGGTTTACATACAAAATAAAGAAAAGAAAAAGAGCATTTATACACCACTACACAATTGACCTTCAGGTTTCATTGGAGTGAGGAGAAATAAATCAAGTGGTCCTAAATAATAGTGTTCTGGTAATGTTTTCTTATCATACAGGAAATGAAAAACACAAAAAAAAACAAAAAGGGAATAAGATTTAAGTTTTGAATATGCACCGACTCCACGCTGATGTCCGAAAGATAAGTTTGATTCCACTGACTGACGACAAGCCCACAGGAAAGGGCAACCACGGCCACCCAAACAGGTCACCAAGCATGCTCAGAAAACCTGAAAGGGGGGGCCTGCAACACCATCTTTCATTATTCAAGGCAATGAAAGGCAATAAATAAGTGTTGTAGTGGAAAAACCAATCGAGTCTTTCCACTGGTCGCTCGAAAACGGGACAAGAATGAAAGAATGAGGAGGAGGTTTAAGTTTTCATACAAGACTGCCTTCCCTCTTTCCAGCTCATATATGTTGAGATTAAAAACGTGTCAAAAAACACACACTTGTGCAACACTGGGCTGCTGACACGCTACCAAACCCGCACTGACAGCCAGTCGGCCTCTTCGCCGTGTGCCAGAGTTGTAGTGTCAAGTCTAATAATACGACATGGAAGTGAGCTGCACTCAACACACAGTAAATCTTAAAACAACTACTGATAAATACTTGGGTATCCATACTGGTATACTGTTCCACTTAAATACTGGCATCCAGACCCTCTTTATGACAGCAGTCTAACAGTTGGCTGTCTGCGGTTTACGCTCACAAGGTTAGTGTCACTTTCAGCAGACAAATTGGCAGTTAAGGACCACACTGGCAATTCAAAAATACATATATTTTAGCCCCATTAACTTAGTGTTCAAACTTTACATCGCTGCTTACCATTTTTTGAAGCATACGTTTTTAGATTGATTCTCTATCTTTTTGGCAGCCTTTGGTTTCTGTTCATCTAAGAAAATCAACTGGGAGGTTTAGCTTTAGGTGAAAACTCATCTTAAGGGTGCACTGATCAGATATGCCGGATCATTTATCTGTATTACCGATATTGATCAGACACAACCAATCCATATTAAGTGTCATTGTAAAATCTAGTGTTTGCTGTCAGTTACATTCACTCAGTTACAAAGTATCTCTGATTCAGTTTTTCACTGGTCTCACACCAAAACAAATGTTGCATGCAAGAAATGACCACATTTACATTGTCCTTTACATGACATCACGTTTGATTTTATGACAACGCAGCTTTCAAATGTAGTGTTTACAGAGCTTCTTTGATTGCAATAACAAGGGAAATTTGCTCACTAATTACCGCTGTAACTATGGCACAATAATGCAATATATGGAAAAAAAATAAAATAAAAAAATCTAAATATCTACTGTACTATGGATCAACTCTCAGAATCAAGTTTAAACTCTCCGCAAGTTACAATTCAGACCTTACTGGCATGAACAGAAACCAATAGCTGCATGCAAAGTAGGACATCAATGTATAAGCTGGAGAAATGGTCAACAGCAAAATATGAAAATTGTAGTTAATGGGTTAAAACATGCAAAGCCACAAGCATGGTCATTACTTGGCTATCAGCTTCAAGTCAAATACTTGGGGAAAACATGCAATACTTGTTCTGGTAGTAGTGTCTTCAGTGACAAGTGTTTCTATACTGCATGAGGTATCACAGGTAACACCGTGATACCAATGCAAACAATTAAGAAGTATTTGAAGGCCAGAGAGACAGATACTGGGTCCACTTAATTCACCACAAGGGCCAGATACATGAAGGAAACTGCTTAGTGTTGGTAAACTCTCTACACACACACACCTCGTGTTTGCCTCAACACCCTGCGTATACTTCTCATAGCACATACTGCAAGTAAATCTCCATTTATAAACAAGGATTAGTAGTGGATGACTTGGGTTCACTGTGGTCCTGTACTCCACTCCCCGCTGTCTGATGCCTGATGCACTGTGATAGCCCTTAATGAGGATGAAGGATAAGTCACCTGTAGAAAAGGTCAAAGACCAAAAAAGTATATCTGCACTTCACTGGCACTATCAAAGCAAGCCTCAAAAAACTGGAAATTAACAATGCAAAAACCAACAACAGAATTCTCGTGTTAAATTACAAATAGCAAGCATGGACCGCGTGGGTCTTCAATCACTGATAAAAAAGTCCACCTACGTTCGTACTGTACATTTTTCTAGGTATGCATTACAGCGCTGCGTCTATAAACCAAGAGGAAATACATAGTTTCTTTTTTTTTCTTAAAAAAAAAACAAAAGAAAAGAAAAAAAAAAAAAATCAAACAAAACAAATGTGAGGGCTCCTAAAGAAAACCAAACAGTATTATCATGGATGGAGATGTGATGGCAAGTACAACTGGAAATGTCTCAAAGAGAAATAGAAAGCAGAGATAAAGTCCTTACTATACCAGACATTCGTTTTTTACAGCAGTTCAGACTCAAGTAGGCTCCGCCATGAGAAAAGGAGCACTTCAACATGACAGAATCAAAAGCAGTCAAATTATCAACACCTTCAAACCTGGTCCATAAATTAGATAAATAAAAAAATCTTTAATTACTCTTAAAATCATCTTGTCACCATACTGTGAAGATTTTTTTTTAACCAGCCCTAGTTAGTATACTCTGGAGCCAGAGCTGTTGCAGTAGTGTGAAGTCGAGAGGCTGGTTGGGAGGAACCTCTTTTCTCTGACTATTGCTCCTTCTGCCGATCGTTTCAACACCACTCAGCTCTGTGTAGTCCTATTAATCAAGTGAACAAAATCCATAATCACAGTATCACTACTACCATAAATTCATAGGAAAAAACTGTATGCTAATGAAAGAAGTTGATTTTTTTGTTGGGTTTTTTTCCGTTTGTTTTTTGCCAAAGATGGTGTACCACAGAGCGTTTTTTGTACAGGAGTGTTTTGTGTATATGTATTTACAAACAAATATACACAAACATTTGCAGACTTCAGAGTGCGTTTTTCTGTGAAAGGTTCATAGCCCCCCGCCCCCCTCCTCTCACC